TCCATTTTCAGAAGTCAAAGCTTTTCATCAGTGGCAGCAAATGACATGGAGTAGTACCTGTAGTAAAGGGAGTCTGGTGTTTTGTGTGCACACACATCCATTTGCTATAGAAAACCATAAAAATGCATCAAGGAAGGACCAAAGTCCTCAAATAAGTACGTTAAATGACACACACAAATAATTCACTTGAATGCAAACTTTGGACATTTTAAAACTTCACCCAGCCCCCAGATCTGACAATTTTTCATTTAAGAAAGCGCTAATTCCATTTCAGAGAAATGGCAGACAGCTTTTGGGGCAGGAGGAGGTGGTTGCTTTGCACATTTCAGTGAGCATAGGGCAAGCTGATGAATCCATATTTAGATATTTGGAGAGCTGGACTGACCTTCTATCTGATAGCTCATATGTAAACTTCCACTGTTTGGTTCATTTTAAATATTTTTGAAATCTGATCATTTTAAGTCTTCCTGGCAGTTCTGTGGGTTTACAGCTGATGCGTTTTCCTCTGATGTGAACTAGCCATATTGCAGAGAGCAAGCTCCCACATCAGCTGTGATGCTCTGTCAGATTTCTACAGCTGGAAAAAGAAGACGAGCGCAGCACTAGACAGGTGGTGGAGTTACAGTAAGACAATGCCCATTCCAAATACTTTAACACAAGCCCATGTAGGTATAATATGAACTGTGCTGGTGACATAAAGCAGATTTAATTTTATTTTAAAAACCACTTGCAGTAGACTTTGGGATTCCTGTGCGCAGACACCTGATTTGTGATGATGCTGCGGCCTGGTAAAAGGAAGAGTGAAAACCTCCGGTGCCTGACTGATGTTTTGTTCCGCTGCTGCGGTTGCGGAGTTTGTCCTTGGTGGGGGGGGGGGGGCGGTGTGCTACTTGCGATTGTATGAACATAAGACTGGACAAAAGTATTTCAGTTTTTTATCAGCGCTAAAGGTACACCCTAACTTTAATCTAGTAGCAAATTCTTAAGTCTGATGAGCAGCTGAATTTTGTTTTTTCTTTTTTAAAATCTGTTCTCTGTACTAAATGTGGTGTGGTGTGAACGGAGAGCAGCGTCCAGCAGAACTCATGTCATTGTATTTGAAGATGGAAGAGACAAAGTGGTTCAGCCATCAAGGCAATACAAGATACAGCAACTACTTGGAAAGACTGAGTACGGATGATCCAGGGGAGAAGCATGAAAGAACAAACCAGGTACTTATGAGCTGAATTTTAACTAGATGGAGCACTTCCATTTCAACTGGATTTGACCTTTTTTGGACCAGCAGAGTAAATGGAGAACACGCTTGTGGGCGTTACTTGAGGAGGGGTATGACTGTGCTCGGTACGAGGCAGAATGAGTTTTGGCTTACAGAGTAATCGCTGGGTGAGGCCTCAGAGACTTGCTCTGGTGGTTCCTCTCCTCTTTGAAAACCCTGTGCATTTCAAACTGCCCCTCATCTTTTCTCATGAGTGTTATTTTACTCTAAGAAGGCAAACTTTTTAAGTAAGTATGTGATACCCTTTTCCTCCTCCCTTCTAGATTTCACGTTTGTAGGGGGGCTTGCCTCAGCAGTTTGAGGAGGGCTTTAACACGCTGAGCACACAGTCTCAAGTGAAAACCGTGTGTCCTGAGCGCTTACCGAGTTCTCCCCAGCGCTCCAGAGAGGTAGAGATGGACCCCTTTGCTGCAGCAACTGAGAGAGACGATGCCTTCCTGGCTGCATGCTGTGAGGGTGCTAGGTGACAAATCTGTCTTCTAGCTCTAGGACCTTATTCCATCAATGCCAATCAACAGTGCGACGGAGCGGATGGTTTTGAACTGGCTGAGCACACGGTTCCCATTAGCGGTAAGCACGCGGTGCAGGCCAGTTGGACGGCCACAGTGAAAGTCACGCAACTTCGTGAAAGCTTCTACTTGTTACAGGCAGTCTTAAAGTTGGAACTCCGCACACTTGGTCATGCCACCTTAATTTTTAAGATGGTCATGTGTTAGAAAACATCAGGCACTTAAGCAAATCTTAGCTGTGATGGTCTAGGGGCGTTGCCACGCTTCAGACTTTGGCTGACCTACTTGAGTTAGTCCCTGCCTCTCAATATAAAAAGCTTACTTAATAGGCTAACTTTGAAAACATTAGGGAGACACCTAGATTAATTCCACCAATTGTCTGCTCCTACGCAGAATAATGAAGTGTAAGAATCCTGCAGAAGAGAAACATCTGCGGACCATTAATGAGAGCTGCAATCCCCTGCACTGCAGGTCTGCACCACTGCCTGCTCCCTTCCTCATCACTTGTAGCTGCTGGCTGCTCTCATGCAGTTGCATGTCCTGTGCTGCTGGGATGTGGTGGGGCTGCGGGGGAAGGCAGCCGGGCTTCCAGAGCTGTACCCTCCCATCATTCATGAGTAACTTCTGACAGAATAGAACTGCTTTTTTAAAATTACTCAGCGTGTAGCAGAAAAGCTTCCAGTTCGGTGCTGAAGCACAGTGGAAGGCTTCGTCAGTGCTATTGGTATTTTCTTACATTCATTAGCATCTAGGGCTGCTTCCTGTTAGCCTGAGGAGGAGGGAGAGGTTGCAGCTGAGACAAAAACAAAACTGAAAGCAATTTACTAGTACGATAAGTCACTTCATAGTAATCATTCTTTCATTTAAACTTTAAATAAAAGATGTAAATGCAACCAAAATACAGGATACTGCACCAGACATTAAGAAAGTGAAAGGTGTGAAATCAAGAATTCAAAACTAGGAAACATCAAGTTAAGGCTGTGGGTGTGTGACAGAGGAAGCTGATGCCAGAGCCGAGGGCCAAGCCCAGCTCTAAGCATGTGCCACGGCAAACAAAGGCGGAGCTGCACTACCCCAGTTCTTCCTCACACACACAACAGGGTGGGGAAAAAGAAACCAATGGCTGACAGCTTAATTCAGGGCATGCAATGGATGCCAGGCTTGACAGTAGAACTTGGTTCTCAGCGCAGAAGTGAGTAGCTGCAGTCCTTCAGGTAAAGCAGCTATGGAGTGGTGGGGGAGTCATACCTGCAGGTTAAACTGGGCTTTGCCCCACCGCGGGCATTAATTCCTCCCCAGCAGCACCAGTCAGCACGCTGGGTGCCCCTCGCCTGCTGGATGTACCCTGTGCCAAGCCAGGGCTGCTGTCTGCAGGGGCCAGCTGCAGGGCGAGACCCCGGGGGCAGGCGCACACTACGGACACCACACAGCCCTTGCCTCTCAGAGACTGCTCACCCAGCCCAACTCCTCTTTGGAAGTGCTTCTGACAAAAGTTACAACCACCCAGGCCCGCCTGCCAGAGGTTGAAAGCGTAGCGTATTTGCATAGTGGGATAACAGAACAGTCGCTGTCCTTGAAAAACGTTTCACCATCTACCTTATGTTTCCTCTTTTATAAATACATACAGGGAAACAACTCATTTCCCATTAACTGATCTGGAATATTTTTGTTTTCCAAAATGCTCCGAGGAGCCAAGAGTAAGTACATCTGCAGGAAACTCTATTCCACAGAAGCTATTTGAAGGTGGTTAGTTTTAGAGCCAAGTGCCACCAAAGTTTGCCCAGCAAGACAGAATGCTACCCGTTGTCTCAGGTTTTCATTCACAAACGTTCCCTAATCCTCCAACCAATCTGATGTGTAATAGCAGAAGCAAAATTATTATTGATTATTCCACTAAAAGGCACCAAATAAAGGGCAAGGACAAACCTGTGCAGTGTTGACTTAAGTACGTCACATACATGTTTGAATTTCCTACTTGAATAGCTTTAGAGCAGTGCTGGTTTTGCGGTGAAAAAGTACTAAAAACTAGTCAAATTCTGCATGTTGTGATAAAAAAGTAACAAATCCTACTACTTCCTCAGGCAAAAATGTTTTTTTTTGTGAAATCAGGGCATTAAAGTTACTGTGTGAGTAAGTTTTCCAAGTGCAGTCTTTCCTTCCATGTAAAGATTTTTTTTTTCTTTCAAAACGCTTCAAAAGATACCCCAAAATAGTAACATGAAGTTTTACAGTCAGTCTCTGGTGAAGCCATTTATGCATCTGAGAGGTCTACGACTGAGCGGTTTCAGGTATCGGTATACAGAACCTCCTTTGTTTGCCCCTTCTGAAAAGGGGACTTGCTTATGCTTCTGTTTCTGCAAGGAGCGACCTGCATCTTGCATACCCAGTTTAGTTGTTTACATACCTCTACCCATAATAATTTTGCAAGTGTGGTCACTCACTCACTTCTGATTTGTGGAGGCTTATACAATCCTTGTCATTCTGAAAGAGGAAAGCAGGGGAGGGTGCTGCTCTCAGTAATTTTGCCTTCAGTGTGCCTTTTCCCGTTCTCAGGGAAGGGCTCCATCAGATGACTCTCTCCTCTAGAGTCGAAATGGGAAGCCTGGGCCACGCGCAGGCATGGGGCATCCATCTCTGCTGGCAGCGTAGACTTAAAAATTTGAGTCGCAGTGCAGGCGACAGCGCGATCAGGCTCTCATGTGACTTGACGTTTTCATGAAAAAGATAAATCCAAATCGGCCCAAGCAGCTCTTCTCTTCTGCATTTGCCACCCTTCTCTTCTAGTAAGAGCATCTCCGTACACCCTCAGCCTCAGATGACAAATAGACCAGTTTTAATGTATACCCAATTTCTGGTCAGTTAATACAACTGCATGGATTCACCCTGAAGTTTTTATGTAGCCTGCCACACATAACTAGACACAAGCTTTAAATCCCCAAAGGCCATCTGTAAATTGGTAACAAAATCTTCAGTCCAGACAAAAGAACAGACCTTTGCAACTTCTCTTATGAACTGTGACAACGTGCTTTATATCTTTAATTACAGAAAATTTAAAAAAATTAACTTTTAAATTCAGAGATTATTTTATTCTCCATTCATCTCATTTTGTGTATTTCAGTTAAATTTCATGCAGAGGGGTACAGATGATTTAAGTCTGTTTAAGTCAAGTGAAATGAAAGTTGGATATAGAATTTGAAAAGTTCATTTTAAATTAACTACACATTTGAAGGAAGCTTCTGTCTTTTTTTCTTAATTCCAGTTGCTCTGTATTCTTCTCTTTGCTTCAAATATTCTGTTTTGCATTCTTCGTAGAATAAGGGATCAGAATAGCTACAAGACAGACAAACACATAATACTGGTATTCATCTTGGAAACACATATTGCATGAATAACACTCATAACCGATCTTCCTTTCACACTCAAAGAAAATTTGCCTGCCTTCAATAATAAAATATGTTTTTTATAAAGTGCATAAGCATTAAAGTTATCATTGTAAACTCTGAATGCTGAGTTGGCCTGCATTCTCTCATGGCAGTGCTGTCTCTCAAGGCACAGTCCTGTTCAAGCCTCTCCAGTGAAGCCATGAAGAGGAGAGGTAGAAAAAGGGAAAGACTTTTGGGATTTCAGGTCAGCTACATTATTTGTTATCATTTTCAGTGAGCTTCCTCAGCATGGGGAGCTGCTGGGGTACACTTACATTTAAACATGTAGGTTCTCGATCATTAAATTCAATGCCTTTTTCTTGTAATTCTGATTTTAAGTATAATTATTCAAGCACTAAGCGTTTTTTTCAGTAGTGTGTATTTGGTTTGAGCGTTGTTGCTTTTTAAAAAAAAAAAAAACACAAAAAAAAATCAAAATTTAACGCATAGAGGTACAGACAAAACTGAATTAACTCCAGCAATTCTCACTACAGTTAGGCTTGGACTCTTGCCTGACTGCACCTGTTTTTTTCATCAATTCCCAAATACCTGAGAATAACTGTCACTAGTTTAAAGGCATTTAATCTTAAGCTCTAGTTTAACAGGGCAGGACACACATTCTGCCAAAAACCAAACCAACCTCCTTCTCCCCCCAGGCAAACCTGAAAAATCCCCAACCCTCATCCTGGGAAACTGAAGGATCTAACACTTCAGCCTGATGGTGCTGGGGATAAATCAGGGCTTCCAAACGAGACGTCTCAATCCACCCTGGCATCAAATTGACCTTGCTAATATCTAACAACGTCCCATTGATGCTGATATTGCTGTTCTCAACAGCAGGACACTTTCAGGACAAAGACTAAATCTTAAAAACAGTTCAAGAAGCAAAATCAAAACCAAGTTATGCTGTCTCACTAACAGAGTATGCAGGTCCTTCTGCAGCTCCTTCCCCACCCCCCCACCCCCGCAGAATTCAGCACAGTGACCGCAGGGCTGCCTGTTGACTGAACTGGAAATCTCCACCCATCACCATTTAAATCAAGAAGAGAGGCTCTAGAGCCATTGGGCAGCTTAATTAAGGACATAAAATTTTGTCAGTTAGGGCCCTGACCAGCACGTTCTTTAATAAAGCGAAGATACAATTTTCAGAAAATACATCAAAGTCACAAACCTTGCAAAACCCTTTTGAGAAGATTTAATATTTCTACTCATTTCTAGATTGGTATAGGCCATGCAATGAGAATCCAACAAAAACTCACGAGGGACTTACTAGCCAACCAGACAGTCTTTCAGTGCTGTGTTCTCTTGCCGACACTTCACCACCATAAGAAGACCAGTTTCTTGACAGCATTTAGTAAATGCTGTGGGGAAAAGAAAACAAAACCACAAACTCAATTAAAGTTAGAAAAATGACAATTGGTAAAAAAATTGTCCTATGTCTATACTATTCCGTATAAAAAACCTCACAGACCAGATCTGATTTATTATTATTATTAATATAACCATATTTGGCGTGGAGTCTCATACTGTTTGTAAGGTCTTTTTCACTTGATTAGCAGCAAAATTTTAATTGGGATTCGCCCCTCCTATCATACAGCCCGTTCACACACGTACTGTTCTTGCTAATACCAACAAATTTCTGGAGTTATTCTTGCAGCAAATCCATGATTCTTGTGCCTGCTTTTCATACTGACTACCCAGGGCCATCACAGCAAAACAAAAGGCAGCATGAAAAATTAGGTAAGCCAGGGTTGTTAGCATTTCCTCTACAATGAAAGCTGCTGAAATTACTAAGGAACGTTTGTATCTACAAATTAAGAGGGCAGTAATGTTGACGGCAGCTACCGTCTCAAAGAAATGCCACTGGGAATGACCTCCTGTGAAGGTACCCTTGGGACAGGAGATAAAAAACTGTGAGGTCGTGGTTCTCTCCTGGAGTTTCCAAAACTCTTTCCTCCTGGCAGTGCAAGGAGAAAGCCAGCAGCTTATCAGCTGGGAGTGCCAGGCTGTACTCCCCAGCACTACAGTGCTCCAAGAACGACTGCTATCTTCTCTCTATCTTCTCTGCATTGTGTAGTGGCCTGTAGCTGTCCCTCACAGGGCATTTCTGCCAAGTCCAAATGGCTGGTAAAGAGCCTTGCCCACAAAACCACTGATGATCATCTGCATTTCTGGGATCACCACCTCTGGCATTTAAGAACAAGGGAATGTAAAAGGGACGAGAGACAGATGAGAGACAGGCATCTGTCTCCTCCCAGGAGAAACAATCTTGCATCTGCTCAATGAATTGAAAGTACCTGGTCAGTCTTAAGGGTCTCGAGGCTTAAAACAAGTCAGTGAGATACCGAAAAAGAAATAGCACTGGGGGCTGGAGCGGAAGCAAAGTCATGGTTAAAGGTGTGGGTTTTATCTGAGAGTAACGAAAGTATGTCCCATTGTTACCAGCACCCTGTACAGATGTTTCACTAAATAATAAACTAGGCAAGCATTAGCTGTTATTCCTATCAGGAGGTTTCAAATTGTTTTTGTTATAAAGGGTTTGAGTTAGTCGTCATCTATGTTTAACAGGCGGAAGAAGCGAGAGGGAGAGAAAGCCAACTGTACAAGATCAACTGGTAGCCAGGTGAAGAACAAAGTCAAATCTACTGTGTCCCCTTCCAGAGTTCCATCCATTTCTCCTCTTCCGAGCCTCTCCTGAAAGTGATTTCATAACCAACAAATTTAGGGCATACAGAAACTGTTATATTCTTGAACATCTCTAGCAAAACCTGCAGCTAATCCAGTAATATCAAAACTTAATGATGATACATCATATAAAAGGTAAATCACATTATCTATAGTCAATGTGTATGTACCTTGAGTATGTTTACGTACATTCAGTATATGCACATTATCGTATGTACATATATGCTCAAATGCACTGTTCGTACTGTGTTTTGTCCACAAGCTTGTGCTTCATGTACTCACAGTAGAATCTTCCGCTTTTCGTACACAGCGATCAGATATGTCATGTTTACAGAAGCAGCAATGGTTTTACCACCTCTGGTCTTTAAACATCCGGTATAGCTACAACTTCTGAAGCAGAGCTGGAAATCACAAAGGCACCTCCCACACCTGCAAGTTACTGACCATGTGAAAACATGGGCACGACTGGTAAACGTTAACAAACGCAGCATAGTCCTGTACCTGTCCTTGTAAGTTTTCAAGACATTTACCTGAAGTTTCACATTTGCCTACTAAGTAACTGTTGGCCCTGTATGATGATGTAACTTCTATTACATCAAAACTTGAAGAAAACAGAGATTTGTGCATATAAAAGCAACAGCCCTGTCCTTCACTCACAGCAGATGGCCACTGAAATGGGCATTAAGCAATCACAGACTGCAGTGGAACAAAATCCACCTTCTAGTATCCTGGACACTACTAACAAGACGTTAAGGAGAAAGCGACCCAAAAGCTGCAAGCACCCTGTGAGGCTAATCTGCTTGCCCATGGCTATGCTAATTAGGCTTTTGATAAAATAACTTTAAAAACATTGTGTGCTGAAAGTGTTAATGATAGTCTTAAGTGTCCTGACACTGCCAAACTTACATACATCTTTGCAAAACTTTGCAAAGAATTCTCTTATCTACTTTGAACATATTATTGATGAATATTTAAAATGTGCTTCAACACAGCACCTAACATTACATCACAATACGCCACTTGAGAATGCACCAGATGAAAGTACACAAAAAATGGGTTTAAATTAACCAGTTAATTACTAGCTGGGAAGGCGCTATAACCTGTGCTCAAAGGAATCTATTAACAACCATACTCAATTTCTAAGATCTGGTTTGGTATGTGTTTTAGATTAGACCTAGAATCATCCAAATACACAAGCGCGACTTTGAGGATGCTTCTGAATAGCTGAAGGTTACAAAGCAGTGTAAGCTCAGAACGATACGAGAGGTGTGCTTTTAGACCATCAAAATGCTTCTTCAGCTTTCAGAGGTGAATCTGACATTTCTTCTCTGGTTTCCTGGACTGTTTACACTGAACATGCCTACATAAGCATCTCACAAAAATCATACCTATTATCACATTTCTAAAAACATCCTTTGTTTTTCTGGAAAAAACAGCAGAAGCCTTTGGCAGTTTATGGTTTGTCTCGTGACCAGTTTGATTTCTACTCTCTGCAGGCACTTCGTTAAGTGCCGTGCTGTTTTTTTTGTAGCAAGCATTCCTTCTGGAAGCTGTGAAGTAAAAAAAACAACACTGCAGACAACAGGAGGTCCCTCGCACTTGTTAGCTCACCAGTGTTGATTAGCTCAAGGTATGATGTCCTGGTGAACAAAACCAGCACTGCAATGGCAGGTGCTCCCTGGCTTCAGGAGGCCCCACCTGCGGTACACGGCCAGGCACTGGTGCAAAGCAATAAAATCGCTTCCAGCTACCTCACTTTACCACTGCTGATGCTTAACAGCAGCAGCGCAAAAAGAGCAGCTTAATGCATATTTGGCATCCTCATACAAGCACACAAAACTTGATTATCCCTCTCTCCTCTTACTTCCAGCACTTTAAAATCGCTTCGGCAGTCACATAGGGGCTGTGGTGCAAGATGGGTTTAGTTATAAACGGTTACCAGAAACCTTACAGGAGTCTGGAGAAGTTTTAATCATGCTCTGTCTTGCTCACAACTCTTTCATGAAACAAAACATCTCAATGCTGAGCAGCACAAAGAGTGTCAGAACCATTGATCTGGCGAATATCTCACAAATAGTGCACAATAGTGCCAGATACAATCTCAAACCAAGAATTAATCTGCGTCTCTGTAATCTTGACAATCACCACTCATTCCTCTCTCGAGCAATACCTGCGTTGTAGACCAAAGCTTCAGGGTGCACAGCAAGATACCACAAAAGGAGCGGATACACAGGATCTGATTACAAACCCACTGTAGTTTTAACACTTCAGCAGCTACAAGCAGTGATCGGAACGCTGGGGAACCCAGTCTCACACTCAAACGACCCTGCTTCCTGACACTGCGTGCGATACAGAGAAGAACTGCTCCTTCAGAGCAGAAGCGATCTTTTAGAAACCTTGCGCATCATCCAGTCTTTTAAACTTAGCAAATGGCTTTCCATGACTTTCCCAGCTCACGGGCTGATACGACATTTTCTTTCTCCTTGCAAGCAGCAAGCTACCCAAACAGAACTTCAGGCAGCACTGAAACTCGGTGCAAGCTTGGGAGCATCTGCAAATTCAGAGCGGATTGTTACAAAACAAAGAAATGTTTCAAACACTAAAAGTTATCCCCGGTATTTACAAATACAAGCTAAATAAAATGAGGGATGGAGCTCGACACAACACGTGTGAAAATGCCTTGTTAGAAATGGGCAGAAAAGCTTGCCCTCCACAAAATGCACCCTGATGAGGCTTTGCTGGGACTGCTACATATGTCTGTCACTGAACGCTCTATGAACAGATCAGGACAGATCCAGCGCTGCGTCAAAGAGCTGCAGGTGCCTACCAGTTACCACAGAAACGGGCTGCGCATCCCTCTTTTGCCTGCAGCAGTTATGGTTCATGACTTCATAGCTGACATAGGTTAGCCCCAGAGGGTCTTCTCCGTGCCACGCGCTGTGTCTAAGGGGACACACACTGAGCAGAGAACTCTTCTTGAGGATGCAGCTCAGAAATAGCTCACTGAACGGTTCATCACTGAGTTGAGTTCGGATTTTGTCTTCTTCCTCTCACTCACAAAGAAAGCTTAGCACTTCTGTTGCAAGGCAAATCCAAAATGAGTTCTGGGCACAGTTCTGAGAATTTAAAGTCACATTACTTTTTGGCCATTTCAGCCACATAGAGAGATTTTAACTGCTAAAGCAAGCTTGCAGTTTAGTACCTTTTCTAAATCAACCAAGTATGTAAGGCCAAACAGTATCTTTGCCAAGACAAAGGTCTGCTTTCAACCGAACAACAGCTGAACAACCATGCTCGAATACAGAGCAATTCAGTTTTGCCAGTTCTCACCTGCTAACTACAGCACGCAGAGGTGATCCGTCTACAATGGGAAGACCACTTCGCTCCTATGATTTTCAGGGATGGACACGAGGGCTTTGTGGCCAAGGTCAGTCATGAGCCCTTCACAGACTGACTCTTCAGCAAAGAGCATCTCGGGTCCTGAGCAGCTCGGGGAAGCTGCTGAGTTTGGTCCCTGGCACCTCCAGATCTCCAGTGGCCCAGTGTCCAAGAGCAGTATTTCACTGGGTCTCCCCATCTCAAGTTACCTACTTGAGAAAGCAGGGCATGGAGAAAAAGGGGAAAACCAGCTGCTTTTGCAGATCCTGGCACATGTAAGGTCATGGAACAACAGAAG